GATCTCATCTCATTCATTAAAACACACACATTATTATGGCATTGAAATTGAGCTCCTCTTTAAGCTATTATATAATCATACAATAGATTTTTATGTACAGTAATATATGTTTCTAAATAAGCTGTAAATGGGAGCACCTGACAGCAGGTCAAGTCAAAATACAAGAATATCATCCACAGTAGTACTGTACAATCCTCAGAATGAAAATGTTCCCTGATTTTAGCCTACAAAAAAAGCATGAGCAGAGTAAGATTGGAAGAAGACGAATCATCACCTTTATAAAGAATGTATTCCTTTATTTGGATATTGCCTTTTTCTCAAATTTTTGTGATGTGAATCAAGTAGTATAGGTGAGGCTCCCCCCTCTCCCCAAGTTGCAGAAAGACTTAAGCCAGCTAAAAACGTCTTTTTTAGCTGGGATTACAAAGGCGATGTGTCACCCTTGTACCAGGGCTCCGCCTCCACACTGGACACGCCCCCGCATAATGCCACACTGTAGAGAAGCTACATTTACTGTGGATAAACCGTATGAGAACATTACCAACTCTTTATTCATTAATGTATGGCCGGGAAATGTTATCAATGCACACACAAAGTGTTTTAGTGTACACACCACTTTCCTCATTGCATGACACACTATTGCTTTACTCAAGTCCTTGGAGTCATGAACACAGTCAAAAAAACACAAGGGTAAAAAATAACCTCAGCCTTATGCATGGAGTTTGAGTTTCTTTTAACGCTGAGCTACAACAAACAAAAAACAAAATTGCACTCTTATCTTGTAATTATGAGATAGCCATGATTACTTTAGTGTATGTAAAACCTTTTACATTGTGCACTGAACGCATGTAGAAGCTACCGTGAACTTGGCTGGCTGTGCACAGCTGACATCGAACTGCTCAGTGTTTCTCTGCGCCCCTTCTGTCTCCCTCGAGAATTTCCTCCACTTTTTATTACTCTCGTCTATATCCACCCTAAAGTGAATGTGGTAAAGGCTTCCAATATAATATATATACTGGACGCTATATCCCCACATGATCCTAAATTTATTTTAGGAAACTTTAACAGCTGCACACTAAATAACTTATTTCAACATATTACTAATACGTACCCTGCCCCATGCAGTTGAATAAAATAATCAATCGTAGCAGTACAGTCCCTATTCGTGCCTCGCAAGACCTCCACTGGGTAACTCCGAACACAACACTGTGCTTCTCTGGCTTCCATCGCTGTTCAAGAGGATCAAACCGGAGCCAAGACCAGTAAAAGCCTGGGACTCTGAGAGCTTCCGGATTGCTTTAACTGCATGCAATGAGACGTGTTTAAAAACACATCAAAGGACATTCACAAACTCGCTGTTGTGGTATGATATTTTATTTCTTTCTAGGTCGATTCCATCATCCCTACCAAAAGCTTTTAGGCTTTTCACAATAACAAACCCAGGGTAACAAAAAGCCTTAATAACTTCCTTCCTAAAAAAGAAACAAGCATTTTCTCAAGAAGACACATAGCTCAGGAAAGAAGTGCAGAGAGAGGTGAAAAGGGAGATCAGGAAAGCTAAGGAACAGTATAGGGTAAAAATAGACAACACCATGACAATAGGTGACACCAGGATGGCATGGCAGGGCATTAAAAGCATGGCCAATATCGCTCAGCACTGTACCTCTGTTAAATGGTATGGACGGGCAACAGCTGGCCAGTGATCTGAATGGGTTCTATACCTGCTTTGAGTTTAAATCTACAACCACCTCAGCTCATAGTTATATTCACCTGTATCTGGAGAGGTTTTCTTTAAAATTTACATAGCAGAGGTACGTAGACTTTTTAGGAAAATCAATATTAGGAAAAGTACAGGTCCAGATAATGTGTGTGGTAAGGTCCTATAATCTTGTGCAGATTAGCTTTGCAATATTTTTTGTTCTCTTCCAAATGTCCTTAAATTTACAGATCATTCCCTCTCTGAGGAAGAAATCCATCATTATTTCTATTCCTAAAACTGCCAAGCTTAGTGGTCTTAACAGCTACAGGCCGGTTGCCCTCACATCTCTCCCAATTAAAACTCTTGAGAGAATAGTGAAGCAACACATCACAAAGAGCACACAAGGCCTCATCGACCCCCTGCAGTTTGCATACAGGGAAAGGAGGGGAGTAGACGATGTAATACACACATTGTTAAATCTGGTCTATCAACATCTGGACCAACCAGGGACCTTTGTAAGGATTTTATTTAATGACTTCTCTTCTGCTTTCAATACAATACAACCACTGTTGCTTGCACAGAAACTCTCGAAGTACTTTGAATAAAAAGTTGATAAGGTGGGTACTAGACTTCCTAACTAACAGGAACAAGTAATAGGTTTGTTCCATGCTGAAAAGAGAAGAAAGAAAACACAACGTTTCGGCCATGGAGCCTTGTTGAGGTGTGAGAAAGGGCAGTAAGCAAAGGTAATGTAACTAACAGATCTCAACAGGTCAAATTGGGGAAGTGCTTATCTGACATTCGCTACACATCAATTGGATCACCACAGGGCTGTGTCTTTTGCATAAGCAAACATACACAGATAGACATCTCATTAAGTTTGCTGATGACACAGCCCTGGTCAGTTTAATAAAGGACACCGAATACTTGTCACGCCTTCTGCAGCCAGAGGGTGATCCTACTCTGTCCTGTCCCTAGTTTCCTGTGCTTTGTTGTCCTTCCAGTGTCTCTCTGTCTGGGGCTTTATATTTCCGGGTCACTCATTCCTCTCATTCCTATTCGCATTGACGTTCGGATGTCCTGAGACCCGCCTAGCACCAGGTTGACCCACGTCCTCTGCCTGAGGGCATAGGTTTCTATACGACTCCTGAACTGCTGAGCCCGGGCTAGCTCCCGTCCCGTCACTACACATAGGGTCTTTGTCCGCTCTCCTGCCATTCCACGGTTCGTCCCTTCCGACATCTGTGACAATACTGTCATGGGCCCATTCTAAATTATTTTACTAACTGGTGCAATGAGTTCTCCCTAAAGTTGTTTCAATGTTTCAAAAACAAAGGAACTGGTTATTAATTTTATGAATAATACAACAACCCCTCAACCCACTATAATTGATGGTCAGCCTGTTGAAATTGTCAATGACTATAAGTTCTTGGGACTGGTCATTGACAAAAACCTAAAATGGGACAAATGTTGTGACACTACATAAAAGACCAACAGAGACTCCTCTTTCTTAGAAAACTCAGTTACTTTAAGGTAGATAAAACCATTCTTACACTCTTCTACAAATCATTCATTGAAAGTGTCTTAACATACTGCTTCACTTGTTGGTTTGGCAACACAAGTACTGGTAATTGTAATAGGCTGGGTAAATTAGTGAATATAAGTGCCAAAATAATCAGGAATAACCAAATCAACTTAAGCATCCTTTACAGGTTTGATAAGAAAGCCAAGGCATCATAGCATGGAGTGTGTGTCTCACCCCCTCCATTGTGAATTCACACTTCTTCCATCTGGGAGACACCTCTGTGTCCCCAGGTGTAAAACCAATAGACTCAGGAAATCTTTAATTCCCACTGCAATTACACTCTTAATGCAAAGTAACTACTGTACCTTGTCTCTTGTTTCTTTTCTCCTGTAACACTACTGTATTCTCTTCTTTTTTGATTACATTTATTTGTCATCATGTTGTGTTTGACTGTGCCATAAAACAAATTTCCCCTAGGGGACAATAAAGCTTGAATTGAATTTAATTGAATATCGATTGCTGCAGAATTTGTACGAATTTGCTTTAGACTGGGATTTAGTTATAATAAAATCTTGGAATTTTTAGCAATATGAATGAAATCATTATAAGCATGAGATAGATAGATAATATTTTATTAATCCCATAGGGAAATTGATGATTGATGAAATTGAGGACCAGTTTTTTGGGGATTTAGTGATCAAAGCAATGATGGTATGAACAGTTATATACTGTATGCAATCAGTTCCACTGCTTAAAACTGTAAGTCCTCACATCACGATATAGGTATTATATGTCAATTGTGCTATCACGTGATCACATAAAGTACGCAAGAATGACTATCTCATAATTACGAGATAGTTTTCTTGTAATTAAGAGATGAGTTTGTCGTAATTATGAGATAAGGGCCTTGGTGGCAGAAATGCGCTTCCATAGTAGACAACTTGAGAAGTCGGTAAATGACAAATATTAAAGTTTTATGGAAAGATAAACCCTTATCAATTACAGAAAGACAAAACAGTGGAAAAAGAGAGGTACTACAAATTAACCTAAGCATACCACCCAATCTTTGAAAAATGGTGGAGATAGTGTCATGCATGTTTGCCTCTGAAACTGGCTTACTGGTTTTATTAAAGATGTAACTAATAATGGCAGTGATTGAATTTGGAAGTCTATAGAAACAAGACAAAGATCCAAAAAATACTGCACATTAACCAAGGAGTTAATCAATAAGATGTGGAAACTTTTGAACTGGCCAGGTCAATCTCCTGAATATGCGCTTTACTTGTCGAAGCAGAAACTAAAGTCAGAAAACCTCACAAATAAGTAACAAAGGAAAATGGCTGCAGTTAAGCCTTGGCAATGCATCTCAAAGGTACTGTACATATCAAAGAATTTGGTAATGCCAATGGGTTACAGAATTCAAGCAATCATTACATATTAGGGGTATGCAACCAAGTACTATGGTTCATTTGTAACAAGTACTAACTAACTTTAAATTAATTAGTTCCAATACCTGTGCTGATCAGAAATTGGAGGAGGTTGAACTTAAAAACATGGTTTACATGTTTGCACAAAATACTCAGAAATAAAAGATGGTATTCTGTACTTTTTCCTAATCTTTATCTTTTTAAAATATAAATTTCAATAGTACACTGCAAAAATGACAAATGTCATTCAATTTCCCAATACTTACACTTTTCACTTTATGTGCCTTTTCACCATAAAATGCAGTTGGTGTGATGACATTCTCTCATTTTCCCTTGTCTTGAACTACAGGTAATTAAAGCAAATAATCTCCACTTTGCAAGTAAACTTCAAATTAGTGAACAGACATGGTCTAAAACAGCAGAACATTTTACAATTCTCCTGATGTCCAAGGTAAGGATCAGATTAAATAAAAAAAAAACTTTTCCATATAGCCTATTCTAAATGATAAAAAAATATTTTGAAATCTAGCTATCTCAAGCATGTTTATCATTTAGTGAGAGGCCTCTGCCACTTTCTTATCTTTCAAGATCTACCCTATATCAGTTATCTGTTAAACTCTCAGATAAAATGTGCTTAATTTATTAATCAGTCCATTGTATTGTTACTTTCTATAGCAATGAAACAAATAAAAAATCCTGGTTAAAACTTAAAAATATTACCCACATTTATGTTTAGTTATGTTAATTACCCTGTGTGAGTCCAAGATTGAAGACTCAGATTTCTCAGATTTATAGAAACAGTAATGAAACCTACCTGATATTAATTTACAAACTAATTTTTATCATCATGAACATACCACAGGATATATTAAAGGTACACAAATTCAGATCTAAAGAGGTTTTATTGATGACCCTTTTAAAGACTATTTTTCAGCTGCACTGCCTTATGTAGTTTATTAGAAACATCATAAAGAGACAGCACTATTTTCATTTGTAACATTAACATAAGAATGGTATTTTAATGTTATAAATAACTGTAATTTTTGTTAGTTGTATGAACCACAAATAAAATTGTATGACTAGTATTGAATCACTAGTTTCTAATGCTCGCATGTCTAATATTTCACCTCAGATTTTTTCACTTAATGTGGCTCCTGGTTGTGGTACACAGAAACTTCATTTTAAACTGGGAATTCCTTAAAGTAACATTATGTGCTCAGTCAAGAAACCCAGGTAGTTGTGAATGACAGAAACACTCACGTTCATTAAGTTAGCTTAATAAGGCAGCACCGTAGCACAGAAGTTAGCAATGCTGTCTTGCAGCACTGGGGTTTGCGTGGGTTTCCCCCAGGAGCTCTGGTTTCCTCCCACAGCCCAAACACAGTGAGTGTTTGTGTCTTTCTGCTTGTGTGTCCCCTGTTAAAGATTTGTGCTCTATCTGGGGTATATCCTTATTTCCATTGCTGCTGAGTTAGGATATGGATAATATGGTTTAGAAAATGGATGGATGGAATAAGCTTATTACTTTGCAAAAAACAACAGGTCTACAAAGAAAAGGAAACAAGCTGTTTATTTTTTTGGACTATAACCATTCAAACCCTTGAGCATACAGTATATATTATGACCTTTCAGTCATTAAGTAAACTAGGGATAAGCACTGATAAAAATGAGCATGTTTCCGTGTGCTTCGTGTGTGTTCCAGTCTACTCCCAGAAAAAGCTGATTTTTTTAAACTCTCTCTTTCTGCACCTGATTTCCAGGACACAGAAGACTTCGGACAGATCTTACAACTGGCAGATCAGTGGAAGTCATTGGTGGGTCATTTTATGCAGGACCTTCGGCAGTCAGAGAACTCTGTTTTTGAAAAAGTGAAGATGATTGAAGCAAGGATTGCCAAGTGGCAGAAATTGTATGAGGAAAAAGTCAAGTGAGTACATATGCATGGGTGCTTCACTAGTCTTCACAACTTAACTTCCAACTTATTTAAGGGGTTCTTGTATTGGTATAAATTGAACTGATATATCACACCCGAAGAAGGCTCCTCAGCTAAAACGCTGTGGTTTCTTTCTTCTCCTTTCAGCATGGAATAAACCTGTTACTTGCCCCTAATGTATATTGTACTATATATGGATATAGCTGCCATGCAAAATGTATGAAATATTTCATGTTTCATAAAAATATTACATTTTAAATCTAAGTTTAATCAGGCCTCTCTAATATCTACTTGTTTTACAGAGCAAATGAAGGATCTCAGAAGGACTTAGAGCAGGATTTATTCCAGGAATTAAAGCAATGGCAAGAAGTGAGGTTTTTCTCTGTGATGTGATGTGATGTGGTGTGATGTGATGTGATGTGATGTGATGTGATGTGATGTGATGAAGTCTTATCCCTTGACTTATATGTGCATAAACAGTTCTGCTTGCCTGAGTGTATTTGTTCTTGGGTCCTAGAAAATTTGTTTAACTTGTGAAGAGTGCTTTCCTTTAGTCTGAATATCTGCCTGTCAAGGGCTAGAGGACTCTCGGTTAGATCCAGCATCACCAGTTTAATGATCTTTCCAAATCTAAAGTAGTGATTTAAAGGATCTAGAAGACATGATGGATGTGAAACTTGTAGACCTGAGTTAAAGAACACTACAATAGTTACCTAAGAAAATGTGCCATTGTTGCTTCTTCAAAATCTGTTTCAAAATATTGATCAGACAGATGATACAGCACTTTTTAACAGGTCCCATATTTGTTTTATAGATGCTCACATATGAGTGTGAGCGCTATGGAGGGGATAAGCTGCTGTCCAGTCAGGAAGCACTGAAGACCATGGTGCAGCTGCAGGAGAAGTGGATGGATTTGGCCCTGGTGCTTTTCAGGAGGCACCCTGGGCCTGATGGGGAGACATCCCATTGTCAAGTCATGATGATGGACCTGGGCAGAATTCTGGAGGAGCTGCACAAGCAACTAGGAATCAGAATCACTGGAGAGAGTGGTAACCCACCCACAGTATTAAATAGTGTCTGAAGGCTTTCTTTAAGCTGGTAAAATATTACTAGAGATGAAGTAGTTCAGGTGGCTAGCTGCGTCAGCATGCGTAGGCTGCAAAGGAACAAGCAATAGGTTTATTCCATGCTGCTTCCATGCATCCTTCTTTCTTTTCAAACAACTCTAAGATTCACAAGCCTGCCAGCTCATAACCTCGCTAAACTGTCTACCCTGGCTTGCTTCTCCCATTCCATTCCGTAAACCCATTTCAATCTGTCTGCTCACCGCTCTGCAGCACCTGTGTTGTAAGATAATCAGTAATGAATACACTACTCTAAATAAGTAGTTCAACAGATTAGAGTATTTTGAAAATATAATATAAACATTTATTAGAAATGTGTTCATTGCTGCTTTTGAACTATAAGTTCAAATGAACAACTGATAGGACATGAGTCTTTACAAAGAGCAATCAAAACCTATATCTCATCCAAGTACTTCGTAGAAAGACAAAGTTAATCTTGCTATTTTTTTATTTTTCGGTACAGTATAAATACTAACAATATAGAGAAATTAATTTAAAAAACAGCGTAGTGTCCATACAAACTTTCACTCAATTTATTGGTTTGTTGGTTTGACACATCTCCAAATTATCCTAAAATTTTTGTGACTCCAGTTGTGACTCCAGGTGTGTTTTGAATAGTTCTGACTGATTTTCAGTTTCTGTCAGTGGACAGGGTGAGGCACTCACCCAGTCCTCTAAACATATTCCTCGCCCAACTCCAGGGCAACAGTGATGGTATGTCTTAGCCAGCTGTAAATTTTAGTTGGCACTTCAGGGACTTTAGAAACTTTATTTTAAAAAGAAGTTTGTCAAAGACATTACTTCTTTGAAGATAGCTATATTTTAGCCATAGGTCACCCATGTGTTTAAATAAACTTAAATACATTTTCATAAACATCCATGGAGTAATAAGCAAACAAACAAGATAAAATACAAAAAAATAATGATAATGATAATAAGCAAAATAAATTGATCTGAGTGACTCCTTCTCATTGACTACTATTTTCACAGTTGATGCTGATGAAAATACTTCATTTATCATCTTTATTCTTAACTTTTTTGATACAGGAATCCATAAGATTATGTTGTCTTTGGTTGGGGAAATTGAATTCTGGTCCTCAAGGCTTTCTGCTGTTAGTGGACTTTCAGGTGGATTGCCCTATTCTGATTGGCTGAAATTGCAAAAGGCCTTTTCTGGTTGGAGCAAGTTTGTCGAAGAAACTTTTCAGCTCATAGATTGCACTCACCCAGAGAGTGACCAACTGAAGCAGAAGGCCTATGTCAGGTAAACCTTATTTGAAAGTTAAGGTTATGTAATTATCCAAGCTACAAGATTTAACATCTCATGCTATGAAATACCTGAGCTGCACTATTTCATTGAACATGGAAAATAATCAAATGTTTTTTTTAATATCCCCACCATATTAAATTCAAGCCTTTCATGGTATAAGGTCTGTTTTATAAGACCAAGGCACTACTTTACTACTACTTCACTTCCCACATTAATTTCAGAGTTGAGGATTTTCAAAATTATATTAAGTAGGCCATTCTGATTAACCTCTGATGGAGATGAGTCTACCAGTGTTCACAAGTAATTATGTTATTGACAATAATATTGACTGATTATTTATTGAAAAGAGACGATGAATGCACTTAGGGAAAAAATATGTGATTTTAACGTTTTTTGTAATAGCCAATCGTCTTATTTTGCTGCTTAGAGAGTGTTGTTTACAGAAATCAGCACTGACTTCTATTTGTATGAACCTGGCTAGCTGATGTAATTTTGTTGCATGTTCTCAAATTTCACTACATGTATTTCAGAGTTGACATCGAGGAGGCTTTTCACAAGCAGCAAGAATTTCTGTCAATGCTGTCAAACATTATCGAATTTGAAAACTACAGGCTTAAAGAGGAGGTGAGAGGATGCTGACTTTGTACAGTGCATTGAAGGGTAGCAGTTCAGTATACAGTAAGGAATGGGAATTCATGTAATGACGCAACCACTCAGATTGCACTTCAAAACTCTCTGCCATAACAAAATGACTGCACCGTGCCGTGGTGTGATTTGTTACACTGCCCAAAGAAACTTCACTGTCCAAAGAAGATTGATAGGTGGCACTTGATGTGTATTAGATGTTAGTGAAAACATTAGCTCCATTTAATCTGTTGTACTTTTTTAAATCCACTTAATACGGAGTAGGGAAATTTTGGTAGCTGAAAATAAAATGTTTCTGAATGTTATTAACAATATTAATGTATGAATATAAGTATAACATATGTATATGGCTGCTGGTGGGAACATATTCCACTTTCTTGCTAAAAACCTGCATCAAATTCTTGTGTTTTGTCTTTTTCCCCTTACCTGTATGTCATAGCTAGGAGTCAAAATATATAATAATGCCATGCAGAACAGCTGTTGAAAGTTGCTTTTGTTAACATGGCTCGCACAGCTGAATAAACAGATCATTATCATGAGTCAGTTTTCATTATCATTATAATATTATATTCCCTATTAATCAAATTCTAAAAGAATGCTTTTGTTTACTCTGATAATGAGCATATTCGCAGAAAACATTAAAACATTATAACTTTTTACAAAGTATATAAACTTAAGATGGTCAGAAGGAGCACGTAAAACCGTTTCCAAAATTACAACATGTAAGACTTTGATGCTTAAAATGTTTAGGATTTCTTGCATTAGGAATTCATCTTTTCACATACCCCAGCTTGCTCTCCATGAGACACAGACAGGGAGAGAGGCCTGGGGTCACAGCACAGGGTCAGCCATTGTACAGCACCCCTGGAGCAGTTTGGGTTAAGGGCCTTGCTCAGGGGCCTAACAGAATAGGATTCCTCTGCTGGCTGTGGGATTTGAACTAGCAACCTTCCAGCCAGAGGTAGAGATCCTTAGCCACAGTGCCACCACTCTGCCCATGTTCCTAAATTAATATAGTTTATGAGCACATGAAAGGCATGGTGAATTGGAGATTCTCAAAACTTACTTTGTATGATTGGAAACCAATACGTTATCAGATCAACGTAATGCTGGTCTTTTCCTTTTTGTCAATGAAAAAATATTTTCGTTTACAAAGACAGTCACAAAGAAAGTGGACCACGGTAATACTTTGAGCTTACAGCCTGCCAAGGTCATTCATTACTAATACTATTAGTAATATCTTCCATAAAGACTTTGATGCATAAAATATTTCTGCATAATTAAAATATTTATGATAAAGGTGGTAGGTTGTGTACTTTTGTCCAACTGAGCAATCTTGCTTTTATAAAATATACCGAATTTTAATATTTAATGATTAACATGCTGTAATACACAGTTTAAAATTATTAAAAGTCTAAAGAGTATACAACTTAAATTCTTAAATGGAAAAAGATTGTCCTTCAGCAGTGATTGGGATTTGAAACCAGGCATTTTCTGGCGACAGCTCAAATACTGTACATGAGAGGTTAAGCTTTATTAGCTTCACCTGGCAGTGATTCCAGATACCATTATCATAACCACAGTATGATACGGTATGATGCCATATGACGTGTTGTAATGCGTCATGCCCACCGCCTTTTACTGCAACATATCTCGCTTGTTTTGAATGACTGCATCTGTATCATCAAAACACGTCAAATAATTTACATCGAAAACATAATAAGGGAGAGTACTTCTTCCTTCCTCAATTGGCTTTATGATCGTATTGTACAACTGTCATTTTGAGCTTTTTATCTAACTAGTAGTGTTGAAGTTTTTTCTTTGATGTGCTTTTAGCATTAGTCTTCACAAGCCAAGGTGGAGAGTGCAGGTGAAACAACTTTTTCAGAGACAGCTGAAAACAAAGAAGGCATTATATAAATGCCTAGACAATCTACGGAAGAAGGTTTAAGTCATACTTTGACTCGCACAACCTACTCTGTACATTCAAAACAAAAAATAAAATGATCGAGTAAGCATTCAAGCTCTGTGCTGTGGCAAGCCTAAATTTAGATACACAAAATTGCCTTAACAGTTCACATAAATATTTCCTATGTCTTTGTGCTATTGTGATTAACATGATTTCAGAATTGGGACGGGTTTTCATATTTTTTATTTTAATAATTAGTAATTCGATTGTGTCGAATATGCAGCCTACGTACTACTATACAGCGCACTAATACTTGAGTAGAGACAAGAGCTACTATGTAATTCTATACCATTCTATAGAAATGTGTCACGTAAGTGACCAATTGTATTTAAAAAATGTTATCTCCAGCAAATAGGGAAGTAAGAGAATGTGCATGATTTTGGAACAATGCCAATGTTCTAAGCACAGGAAAGCATAAAAATGCGTACTACAAATGCTGGCAATCTTGTGAGCACAGGAAAGCATGAAAGATAACAGAAAAATATTTAATATTTACTGTTCTAGGTTAATTTGAGAAAAATACACTGAGAGTCTCTGTGTTTCGTTGCCAAAATAAAAATAAAAACTTCTTTTAACTTCTGAGAATCCTGAAACGGAAACTGGGAAAAATGCTAGTTTGCGGACTGCTAAAGCAAGTAAGCTCCACACTGTGAAGAATTTTGTTTACCGTTGGCAAAAGAGCTGACACGTATTATGTGTGGAGAAAAAGCTGCTAAACAGCTCAACCTGCTGCCCCCTCTGAAAGACAGTCACTCACAGAGTTATTGATAGGGCAGATGATATCAAAAATACGCTTATAGAACGCGTTAAGATGAGCAGATGCTTTTCACTGCAATCAGATGAGTATGTAGATGCCTTTGATTTGGCCAATTTGCTCGTTTATGTTAGACACAAGTTTGAGGGTATGTCCCATGAGGACTTTCTGCTCTGTAAGCCACTACCAACAAGAACTACAGGAGAGCACAGGAGATTTCAACTTCTGAATTAATTTATTGAAGAGAATGGCATCGACTGGATAAAATGTGTCAGAATTTGGACAGACACTGCTAGAGCGATGACAAGCCGACACAGCAGTGTACCGTAGTTGCATGCATTTGAGAGGTTGCTCCAGATTTTAAGTGGACGCACTGCAGCATCCACAGTGAGAACTTTGCCATCAAGAAAATGGCTGAGGATTTAAAATCTGTTAGACTCTGTTGGGAATTGTATCAAGGCTCGACCAATGAATTCATATCTGCTTTGCTCGACTAAACAGGCTCACCCCTTTCACTGAAATTATGCTTTTTATTGTTTATTTTTAATTGTTGTTGTTGTTCCTGTTGTCATTCTGTAAAGCACTTTGAGAAGCCACCTTTAAAGGTGCTATATCAAATAAAATGTATTATTATAATATTTATTATATGTGTATGTGAGTGTGAGGGGACATGCACACTCATGTTGGTCATTGAGATTTTCTGGGGTTCCTATGAGAAGATGACTTGTAGGTGGTACTTGGATGCTTTGGTTTGATCAATGGTGGTACTTGGTCCATAAAATTTGAAAACCACTGCTCTAGTACTGTATATCTTAGATAGTATTGAAAGTAAACACAGTAAATAATAATAATAATAATAATAATTGCTTACACTTATATAGCTTTCTGGACACTCCATTCAAAGCACTTTACACCACCACCAATGTGCAGCATCCACCTGGATGATGTCACGGCAGCCATAGTGCACCAGAACTCTCACCACACATTAGCTATCAGTGGGGAGGTGAACAGAGTAATGAAGCCAGTTCATATATGAATTAATCGAGATAATCATAGATAAGATAAACATAAAGGTTTCCTTAGCTAATGTACCTGTAACTAATTGTATCGCTTGTACAGGTTTTTTAAAATAATTGATAGTAATGTCTACGCTACTACTCTCTTCTGTTCTGCTCTATATTTCAGTTTCTGTAATCATTAGTATTAGATAGATGTTACTAATAATACAAACTCTGCTACATGATATGACTGTGGGTGTAGGGAAATGTAGTAGAGGACTTGTACCCTAAAGTACCCTTCCATTGTGCAGCAGGTTGTACTAATTCTGTTGCATATTGTGTGTTGACTCTAGTGCAGTGCCATACACATCTCCCTAACACAGTGGATCTTAGACTTGCTGCTCCAGATGGTGCCTGACTGCTGTGATGAGAAAAAGCTGCAGCCATCCTCTGAGAAGGAGGCCAAAAATGTAGTTGCTATTAAGAGGCTGGAAGAAGACGCAATGTATCTTACACAGAAACTGGATCACTTTTCAAAATACTTAACAAGGTACAGCACAAGACAAAATTATTTTGAATTGTTTCACGCTTTTCAAGTTTCACTGCCTTACATGTTGGTTGCAAAAAATAGTGTTTGATATTGCACCGAGTAATACAGTGAGTACTTAATGTATTAAGCCACTTATCTAACCAAGCAACATTTGTCATTTTCTTTAAAAAAATTTAGATTGAGATTATTGTATTTAATGCTTAAAAATGTTATATTCTGCAGTATCATTCACAATGTTGCAAGATCAAAGGTGGCCATCTTAGAAAATGTTTGATCCAGCTAGAAATACCATCACCTCTGGCAAAGCTCAGTCAGTTGTGTGTCAGTGCTTTGGCAGTTCCAGCCACAGCTAGGTAATCATTAAAATGAGTGACCTCCAGACTACAGGATTTAAAAGAAATCATGACAGGAAGTAGTGATAGTATAGTCTTTCAGTCATATTTGCTCATGTCTGAAATATGTTTGCATTTTGAATTTATCGGAGTGGTATGACTGACACACTTATTAAACATGTAATTGTAAAGCACACTGAACTCTGCTGGAGATATTTCTAGATGATTTCTAGTATCTTCCTAAACAACACCTTAGTGTATTCTCTCCTACATGGGACACTTAACTAACATGCCTAAGTATGTTATGGATTGATCACATTAAATAGATGATCCCCACATGACTAATAATGAGCAAATAATAATCAAGTGTGAATGTCAGGAAGAGTTTTATTACAGTTATTCCTCTTCTAAATACTGTAGCATGTTAAAAGAAGGAACATTGTTTAAATATTCAATGACCTGACTGTCTTTGCAGTTCTTGTCAGGCTATTGTTGAAGAAGACCTGCAGAAGCATACGGCCGAGGACGAGCCAGTGGACGGATTGTATGAGCTCACCAAACTCCAGGTAGAGGTGATTGAAACTGCCAGAAAAATGTTGTGCTAGAAGGGTAAAGTCTTACAACACAGAAAAAATGTAAATACACAATTGAATGTTAAAAATGTGAAGCACCAAAGGTTTACAGAAGGTTTGTGCACTTTTTCTTCACTTTGTTCCGGACTTACAGAAACTGCAATTGTTCACATTGTCCTGTTTTTCTTATTTCTGGTTAATTAAAAATAAACAATAGTATTTTATCATAATCTCCCTATTACTGTTATTAAAATTACTGACCCTGTTGTTATGATTTTGTCTGCTGCATTTTTGTGACTTCATAGCAGGAGTGCTCAGAGTGGTTGGAGACATGTCAAATCCTGCTGTCAGAGATTAAAGGCTGCCCATTGGAGCAGCTGGCTCCCTCTACTCAGGTGGTCAGCTTTGTCACAGATCTACCCCCAGTGCAAGACAGTGAGGAATCAGTGGTGAGGTCTCCTCCTTGTGTATCCTTTGTCATTCCGTCAACCACATCTATAATGCAGAAGTTATTTCACATTCATATCCAATTTAAAACTGAGATACAAAGGAGATCAACTTAACATCACAAACATCTTAACAACTTACATTAAAAATAATTCTTATCATTAAGAATTATTTTGAAGCTTGAAGTCTCTGATTGCCACTCATAATTGTGAACCTTGCATTTTGTTTTTACTGACCCACTGAGAAACATTTTACAAAAATGTGTTTTTCTGACACAGCTTTCCTATACTATACATGCTTGCAATATTTGTTCCATCTAGGTTGTGTTTGGCTTTACAGAATATTTGGATATCAGAACTTTAGCATGCAAAAATAGTTCTTGTCTATAGATGGCAGCATTAAACAGGGTTTCCTTTTGTAGAAAAGTAACAGCACTTTGTTCCATTAGGTGTCAATAGAAACAGATGAATCACTGATAACTGGGGAAGCCGACAGACATCCCCCTGAGGTCTCAGGAAAGCTCCTTCATACTGTAGTTTCACCTCCAGATGATTTGTTGTATACAGTATCTGTTATTAACAAATCAAATCACCTACAAACATTTGAAAATGGAATATTCTATTAATATGAAGAACATAAGAACGTTGAGCTTAACCCCTGGCTGCTATTCCTATATTTCATAAAGTGCACCAATCTCTTTATGCACCTTTTGAAGTGTAACATAACAAAAAAACAATGCTTTGCTGTCCTTGATATGTTAAGGTATTCTTAAAAAATGTAACCTAGCACAAAACTCTGATAATGTTAATGTTTCTTATTAGCCATATACAATTTCTTGTATCAGGAATTCATCTTTTCACCAGCTTTTCTCTATGAAACACAGACAGGGAGAGAAGCTGGGGGTCAGAGCACAGGGTCAGCCATTATACAGCACCCCTGGAGCAGTTGGGGTTAAGGGCCTTGCTCAGGGACCCAACAGAGTAGGATTCCTCTGCCAGCCACAGGATTTGAACCAGCAACCTTCCAGTCACAGGCGCAGATCCTTAGACACAGAGCCACCGCTCCACCTTTTTTCTTTCTAGAATCAAAATCAAGTATTTTATGCATACTTTTTGCTTAAACTCTCTGAACATGGATATTCACATTTTTAAAGTGGTAACAAGCTAGGAATTTTATCTTTTTTCCTTCAGATTGTTTTCCACAAGGGTTGCTTGTGTGATACATTGTCAGGTTCACTAGCATCCCTCAAGGCTGACATCCTTCACGAGGTTCTTTAACCAAAAATTTACTTTGAATGAATGGTCTGAATGACCTGTGAATACGTCCTGTGTTCTCATCATAGCAATGATGTACATGATGAACTGGAGCTATTTAGGCTTACAAGGTCCTTCTCAGTGTCTGATTTCCTTCCAGGAGGCTGGAGCAAGCCCTGTTGAGTCAGTTGAGATCAGCAAGGAAACATCCTCCCTGAGGTTCATAGGTCATGATGGCAACATCCAAGAGAAGACTCTGAGGGAGTTGACAGTGCCCTTGAAGGAGGTGAATTTACTGCACATCTTATACATTTTCTCTTTTTTAGAGTTCAGAGAGATTTTCAGAGAAAATCCAATCTAGTCTATTACTACATGTTGTGATGAAAGAGAAAAACAGTATAGACAACATTATGATTTGTATTACTTTTCTTGTTCTGTAATGAAAAATATTTCCTGTTTTCAGCTACCAATATTAAGTGTAGTTTTCATTTTTATAATTACAGAGTGCACTGTTAGAGTGGAGATATCAGATTTGTTAAATTTGCTTTAATTAAATGGCTTTTCATATTTCACATATATTTCATATATAGTATTCCATGAAGGTTGATTTAATTCTAAAATAATACACAAAAGTTTTTTAAGCAAGTTTAAAAGCTCCAGACCTTTTGTAGCTTTCGTTGTGCAGTAGAATATCTGAGAACTTTAGAAGGTAAGATTGAAATAATTATTTGTTCTTAATGTAACCACTTGTCTTTGCATCTTTGTACTTAGTCTACTTAGTTCTATTTTTGTATTGAGTTAATGGATGACAGCTCCTTAATATCAGTGCAGAAGATGAATACATGTTTTCTGTGCAGGATGATGACGTGGTAGATCGTCCTGAGACTCCCAATGCACAAAGAGCATTTGAGGCTTTGGCTGCAGTGGACGTTTTACAGCGAGAGCTTTTGTGAGATACAAAAAAGTTCTGCATTTTTTCCTTCCTTTAGTTATGTAATTTTACCTGATATAGGTAATTCAATTATTAAAAGCAAGTGCAAGAGTATATAGATGCAGCCATTCAAAAACCCTGTACTGCACAAAATTAACCACAGTTCACTGCGTTGTGCTGCAGTGCGTGATTTGGCTGGCCAAAATGACTGACAGGGGCACTCGTGGTGCATTGGTTGTTAGTGATTATATGATTTAATCATATAATCTCTTTACTGTGCATGTTTTAATCCACTTAATATTGAATATTTATATTGAATTTTACAACTAAAGAGAAATTTTAGTTGCTGAGCATAAAAAGAAGAGGGGCATAACGCATCTGAAGGTCATAAATGATATTAATTTAGGAACATATAATGTAAATTGTGTATGGCTGGTATTGGTAGTTTAAATAAAAAATACACACCAGTATTCCACTTTCTTCCTAAACATGTTAAGCATCAAAGTCTTTCATTCGGTTACATACTGTGGTTATTTTGGAAAAGTTTTATGTGCTCCTTCTGACTATATTAAGTTTATATACTTCGTAAAAAGTTATAATGTTTTAACCATTTCTGTGAATACTTACACTTGTTATCACAGTAAAAAAATGCATACTTTTTAGAATTTGATTTATAGAGAATATATCGTGGAATCGCATATCTAAAGAAATTAATAACGATATAATTATATTCATAATTATCAAATCAAATCAAATTATCACAGTAGTACATTTTCTTTTTAAATATCTGCATCAGTTTAACTCATTCCCACATGATTATGTGTGTGGTGTAATGGCTTAGGCATGTGTCTTGCATGCTGGAGGTTGGGGGTTTGAACCCAGCTGTTACCATATGTTTTCTTTTTACAAATAAACATTTCTTTGAAAAAGTAAAATAGCAAATATTATGGACACTATATCGACATTTTTTATTTTTCTGAATATCACAACATGTTTGAAGCTAAGTGATTTATTAATAACTATGAATAATTTCAACTGCTACTGTACGGCCACTAGTATATACATTTATTTGTCCTGCATCAAAGTTTAACTCGTTCAGAGCACCCTACATTACAAACTCCAAGCATTTCATTTTGTCTATTGCTACAATATTGACAGCAATGTAGTTAAAAGGAACATGTTGAAATGGTTGATCGAGTTAACAGACTGGGTGTGGTGAGTTTGGACTGTTTCCTGCCAGTCTTGGGCGAAAGGAACCTTTCTTTAATTAGAAGGTTTGCCTATTCTACTCACACATGAGAATATAGGGGGGAAAGAAAAAGTGCCCATGGTCATTTGTTTCACTGACAAAGTTGTGTTGTGTTAACAAAAACTATGCTTAACAGCCGCTTGTAAGAGCAAGGTGACTTTCTGCTATCTAAACCATTTTTTACAGCTTTTAAAGTCGCACAATGGTTGAGTTAGGCAGGAACACGTCATTGTATCTTATTTTCTATTTAATTTTTTAAAATAAATTAAAGGTAACCAGCAATCAAATGTCATGTTTTTTCTTAACACACATTTTTCTATACTGTAGTTTGAGTCTTTGTGTAAGCTATAAGTTCTTTTTACTTCTTAATTAAACATTTGAAACACTTTAATTTTGTAAACGGAACACGCATTCCGTACAGAAATTAAATCATGTTTGCTACAGGTGTTAAGCAGATTAGCAGTTTGCTGACAAAATAGCACACGTCGACATGACGTTTACATTAATTTTACACTTAAGTGTATGGAGGAGTGTCAGCTGTCAATGAGAGCAGCCCCCCACCCACCTTAGGCTGGTCAAAAGATTTTTTTAATATTTAAAAGAAATAAAAAATAAGATACAATGATGTTCATGCTTAACTAAGACATTGCATGACTTTAAAAGCTTAAAAGCTAAAAACAGGTTTAAATAGTTAATAACCACTTTTTATGCGCAAAAAACAGGTGATTTTTCTTCCTCATGATCAGCTTAGAATCTATGTGTACAATGTATGTTTTTTACTATAAGTAATCAATAATATTAAATTTAGCACTGTAATAAATTGTTGCACTTGTAAAAATATATTTTCATTGTTCAAATATACATTAAATCTGACTCAGAAAATAAGTTAAATACAAAATTAAAGAAAAAATAGGGTAAAATATAGTTCGAAATATTTTGCTAACATTGTTAACTGTTTATTAAAATAAAATGTATTAACTAAGGAATAGCATGGCACAGTTGTTAGCATGCTTTTTGTATGTTTTTTTTTCATAAATACAACAATAGTACCATATGCCTCAGTGGCTTTCAAAATTAAATAATGTATGCAAACCTGTGAACTAGAAAAATAACTAAGCTATCCATCCATTTCTTATGGTGGCGAAGTGGTTAGTGTTGCTGTCTTGATGCACTGGGGCCCTAGGCTCAATTCCTGCTGTCCTGAATGTGTGGAGTTTGCATGTTCTCTCTGGGTTCTATGTGTTTTCTCCATATGTGTGATATGATTTCCTCTTGCAGTCCAAAACATGCTGGTACTGTAGGTTAATTGGCCTATGGGAAAACCGGCCCTGTGTGTGCGTGCGTGCGTGCGTGCGTGCGTGCGTGTGTGTGTGTCTGTCCTGTGATGGACTGGTGTTATGTCCAGGGTGTATTCTGCCTTGCGTCTGTTGCTTGCTGAGATAGGATCCAAATCCTCTGTACTGGATAAAGGATTTAAAAAATGGATGGAAGTAAAGGAACTGTGTGGATGGAATTATACATAGTGTTTGAAACCCGCTTTGAGATGGCAGCATCTCACTAGGGATAAAATATTTTATAGTGCTGGCTTAAGGAAACAGCCTTTCCACCTCTCTTGCACATCAGTGTCATTTTCAGGTGACAACTCAAATGCTGTACATGAGGGTTTAAGCTTTATTAGCTCCACCTGACAGTTTTACAAGGTGCTTCCGGATACTATTATTTTAACATGCGGTATGATGTGTAATGATGTGCTACACCTACCACGTTTTGATGCAGCATAAAGTACTTTGCACATTTTGAATGGCTGGATCTGTATGTCAATTCAAATAGAATGGAAGAAACAAATATGACTACTCCTGATTAATTAAATATGTTTTTTAAAAAACAGTCATCTGGTTAATCATGGTAGTTTGATTGGAATTAAGATTTAGATCATTTAAAGATGTAGTCACTGTTAAACATTTCTGCTATGGTTCCTTGAACCACAGGGTGACTCTTCAGCTTTGGTTTCTCTTTCACCTCACATAAAACTCACTTGTAGTTTAACACCTCTTGTTATTAAGATTTTTTTCCTAAACAAACACAAAATATGAAATGTTATGCTGGATTTTTCTTCAACAATGTGCACATAATGCACATCTTTTCCTAAACTTCTCTTTCCCTTTAGTGTTACCTTAATTATACTGGCATAGTACTGCATTGCTTTATTCAAACAATGTCGATTTATATTCTCTTTCATGAAGTAGTTACAAAATGGAGTAACTATATGGAGTAAATGTTACAAAAATGGAGTAAGTAGAACGCAGTATTTTCCCCTTGATACATTTGAGTCTGTCAGCTCTATTTGCTTAGTGAGCTGGCTGTACTTTGTTGTTCTAGGAGTGCAGAGGAGAGGGCTCAACGGGCAGAGAAGAAAGCCCTCAGCACAGAGGAGCAGCTGCGATCCGCATTGGAGAAGATCCAGAACCTGGAGCAGCAGCTTAAGGGCAGAACCAACCTCGAAGACATGGGTGAGCACGATGGCACACTTCCTGGGCATTGCTTCATATTTTAAAATATAATACAGCACACTAACATGCTGATATGCTTTAAGGTTTTTTTTTGGATAGAAACATAAAATAAGAAGCAAAAGGTACTGTAGCTAACACTTGGAAAAATATCCAGAATGGTCAGAAATCATTATCTATAAATGAGTTAATAACCTGAATTTAGACAGCATTTATTCACTAAATAATTATATGAAGCATTTATAGACACTCCTTGGTACAAAAAGCATGTTACTCACTCATATTACTCATTGGTGCTTTCAATACAGGCTATCTTATCCTGTGTAGCTTATTTTTAAAATAAGCTTATAATTATTTTTAAAACAAGCTACAATAAATTGTACAAAGAAATATGTTTAAGGGTTGACTTTGCATGATTTGGTCAAATGTCAAATGTCTAAACATTTTGATTAACTATAATCAATGTCACTTAACACTGGACTAATTAACACTGACACTAATGAGAGTCATGACCGGGATAGAACTGTGTTTTGCTATTCTGGTGTTTTTAGTCTTGTACTTGAATTTTACTCTGAAAAATACTTCCACTACTTGAATTTTGCACTTATCTGAGTGCTGCTTAAATTATAGCTGCTACCATGTTCCTGTCTCCAACAATTTGAGACATCTGTTGTCATTTGTCATGTGAGAAAAACACAGAAGTTCTTCAAACTGTTTTCCAGAAGACAATCATTTTGAAAACAGTAATAAAAGACAGAAAAACAATTTGGTAAGGTTTTTAAATAGGTTTTCTCTTCTAAGCCAGTATTTTGGAGATTAGCGATCTGGCATCTCTCCTTGAACATGATACACCCATCATACATTCATTCAGTGCACAACTGAAGACAAAGTTATGTTTTATGATTAATTTAAGATTCTGTATAAAACTCATGTTCTGTTTTTGAAAGGATTGTGAGAAGGAAGGAATAAAAAAATCTACTGTAATAATTTAGTCCATTATATTACTTATGCTCTATTTGCAATGTCTCGACTTGTTGGCACTTTTGGTTGGTACTTTTGGAACTTCCAAGAAAATTTGGAAACTAGTAAAATAGTAAAATATGTAAATGTAGGTTCCATTTTCTAAAGTAAAGTGCAATAATTAATACTATTCGTGATCCACACCTTAGCATTGTCCTTCTCAATCTGCACTCTAGCTGAAGGTTAAATATACTGTACCCACAGAATCATAAAAAACAAAAACACAGATGTATTTTTATTTGTTATTTGCAGGCACACAATAATGGATGCTGAAGATTAAAAAATCAAGTTTTGTAAAATAATCAAAAGACTTTCAATACAGGAAACTTTCTCTAGCTTTACAATACAGGATCACAGTTGTTTTTTATTAGTATTTTTCAAATTTATGTCTTCATGCCTTGGCTCACTAGCAGCAATTATTATACTGCACAGGGTGATTGTGAATATTCTGGCATGCTACTCTTACTTGCCTGCTCATCAATCCATTCATTTTTGTCATGCCGAAAGCTCTAAAGCTACTGACAGGGGATATAACGCAGATTGATGTCCCTTTCGCACACCTCTGTAAGTCTGCAAGCAGCTGAGCAACCACAGGAGTCACAATTTCCACAAGACCTGAAAGAAAGTTGTGTACCATCACCTGGCAAAACCCTGTCAAAGACAGCTAGTGACCCAGTGTTGAACTGACATCTAGGCCATATAACTCAACCTTCGCTCAAAGTGAACACCCTTACTGCTTAAGTCATTCAGGAGCCCCACAAATTGAATTTATTAGTTTCAGCATTCATTATGGATGAAATACGTGCATTAATAAGGAATGATAAAATAAAGCTGCATCATTATCTTTGAATTGACCTTATATTGTTGTAAAATGAAAAGTATCAGAAAAATGTAGTAATTCATTTCTAAACATAATATGATTACATTTTTAGATGAAAAGAAGGTGGTTCCCAGTAAAGTTCAACTTCCCAGGGAGGTGGTATCAGGCTGCTCTAAATCCACTCTGAAAATACCCAAGTCTGAGAAATCCTCCAAGAAGTCCTGAAATTCCACAAACATTTGGATTCCCAAAAGAGACATTCTTCAGAGCACAGCAGTCACTGGGAGTTACAACTATTGTGAAGAGTTCCATAGTAAGAATCCTTCAATGAATAATAAATATCTTTTAAGAATTACTAATATGTCACTGATGATGTTTTTACAGCAAATAAACATTTCATGGGGCTAACCATCAATCTATCAAATACTTGTGTTTCAAATTAAAATGTGTGTTACGGCACAGAAAAGCTGAATTTCTAAAATGATGCATTATATGTCATCTGCTTCATTTCTACTTGTAAGTTATTTTTGAAACTTTATTATACCTCAAACTCTGTTGTTTGTATGTAGCACAACTGCTACAGAATAATCAATTTAAGACAATATTAATGACAATTCATTTCTTTGTGAAGTTTAATACTTTTTTGTTGAGTAGCAGTCAGGGATCTAGACTCTAATGGTTGTAGGTTTAAATGGGTGGGCTGCTATTTTTTTACCCTAAAGTAAGGTACTTCATTCAAATTCTTCAGTACATGCCCTGTTGTGTGAATGGTTACCCTTGTGGTTGTCATTGTGAATGAGAATTTGTTCTCAATTCACTTACCTGGTTGAATAAAGAACTTTAAAAAAAAAACTTAAAAATCTTTTATTGAATAAGGATCTTAAAAAACACCTAGTTTTGTGAAGAAGGAGAATTGAGTAATATAGGAATTATTCAGTTTTCTTTAATGTTAAGCATAATCTTCAATTCACACACAGGAACCAGTTACTTTTAATGTGTTTTGGTGATACAATTTGAACTTTCAAATGTTATTATATGTCCCATAAACTTAAAATATTGTTCCAGTCTACTTTACTTGCATATTAGCATTCCTGTTATTAGCCTAATCTGTTTTATAGTGAACAGAGGATATTGTGTATGATTCAAGTATTTAGAATCCTAATACCTGTTGACCACGTCACCCCAAGTAATTACTTCAAACTCCTTACAGAAATGGAAACCTGAGGACACAATTAGAATCTAATTCAGATTCTTTGGGATCCTTCAGAAACGTCCTGGATGGGCCAATCAGTATAGGCACTCACTCGGAGTACAAAGTACTCCATTTAACTTGTTTGAGTGACCAGAGTTCCCAGATAGTATCACACAATTAGCTGCATGTATTACTTATGCTTTGTAATGGGCCAGGCCACTGCAGGATGGCAGTGACATCAGTGAAAGAGACTACTTCTCCAGCCTGTGCTAACTCTCCTATCAAAAGCTGTAAAGCTTACGATATGTCAAATTACAATTTTTTACAATTACGGTTTTGCAGATGAGCATATCAGAGAAGCATGTCTGCATACCCCATTCTGTCCTAAGTAGATACAGCAGCTGTAGCAAATAAGCCAAATCTTAATAACAATTCACTATTCTGAAGTCTGTGACTTAATAACTGTGACTTGATAATAAAAAAAATCCTTGTTGTGATTTGTCAATTGATAAGACATTAGAAATTAGTTAAAATGTATGTGTAAAATAGATGTATCTCTTTGGCAACCTTTGTAATTCCATTTCTATGCTTTTATTCAGTTCTCAGTTATGAAATGCTACCGTTAAAAGTCTATAATGAAATTTAAGGTGACAAAATCCTATCTTTGCAGTGTCCCTTTTTTGCTGTTTCACTTCAATACATCCATTGTAGACTATGGAGATTAGCTTGTAGGAATGTTCCTCAGTGTTATACTGTAATATTGCACCACTCTGATAAAGTTAGAAATAAATAGTAAACTGGGGCATCAACAAGTATTTAGAGCATAGGTGAGTCTTTCTGGGGCTCCTTCTTTGACAGATCCTCTGTGAGACTCGGTTTGCCTGAGTTGCCCAGCAGGGTGCTGTGGCCTGCCAGACTGAGGAGGTCAGAGGGCAGTGGCAAAATGATTGTGGATTTTTCACTCGCAAAACTGTGGAGGATCTGAAGGTAGCGCAGGTGAACAGCAGTCGGAGAGCCAGAGAGAATCTCTGCTGATGCCTTCAGGGCCTCACAGACAGCCTTCTCACCTTCTGCAGCAATCACCTGAGCACAAGGAGCAGAGACACTCACTATGCAGATATGGTCTATGTTTTTGTTTTTATTTGTAAAATGATTTGATTTAATCAATTTAAACAATTTTAACAAGACTAAGAATAACTAAGAAACAGAAAATACATAAAAAACACTCAGACAAAGAACAAACATCCAAAACCTGCATATGCTTTTTTAAAGTTTTCTTGTTGAGATAAGAATAGAGTCAAAATCTGTGATAAATCTATGCTTAAAGTAATCACCGAATGATTAGATATGGAAAACAATTAGGAATATGTACAGTACAATGCTCAGACTTTTTTCAGAACATTCAAGAAAGGGACTTCAGATCCTATGGAAGCCCTCCAAGGAGTGTTATAGAAACTCTTTGCTATAGAATGCTATAAAACACTGGCTTGTACAATTTAGTTTTTGAGTAATGAAGTCAATGTGTGAACTTTGTTGTATGATCTCATGTCTAATATTAAAATACATATATATTAATATTAAAAGAGAATATTGCTCAAACTATCTTCCCAAACCTAATTAGAAATTTCAATATTAAGTTTTTTATACCAAGCATCATAATTAACAGACACTTATATATGCCTAGAAAAAAAGGTAATAAAAACTGTGATATTAAATGTCTGGAGTTGGAAGGTTGTTCCTCAAGATTATAGAACAAGTAGGCCCGTTGGAGATTTTCAAATTGAGGCACATTTTGTGTATGTCTGACCTATAAATAATGAAAAACGTGATTGTGAGGGCCAAGTTTGTTATTTTACTTGTTAAATTACTCAAACTGTTCATTTTACATTCAATTTTACAAAAAAGCATAACAGCATAACAAAAAAGCATAACAGGGAGAGATTTACGTGTTGGCTTGTGTTTCTATGTCTAAACACATGGGAGTTTTTCTGTTTACAGTATGCCAGATGCTGTACTGTATATTGGCAAAGCCAGTTTTATATGTCAATGTCATATGTCATGGCACTTGCAAAAATATTGAAAAAAGACATGAAGACCTAAACCTCCAGCATTCTTTTTTTGCAGATGAGCTTTGGAAATACAAAGAATTATATAATTCCAGACTTTAAAATAAGAATGTATGAAAAACAGGTATCATTTATAGCATTTATGTGCCCAGTCAAAGAGAGTGGCAGAGCACTCAAGCTAACAACATTTTGTTTTAACTTTCCAACCATTACAGAGTAGTTAAGTTTGAACCTCAACTTTGGATTCTCTGAAAGGCATGAATATACTTTTTTCCCAATTAATTAGGGCACATTGTCAGGATACAGTGATATACAGGTTACGTTTTTGTTTTTTAAAGCAGGCATAGAATTCAAAGCTCAGATTTATTGCCCATTTATGGAATTATGTGTCCCATCTACTTTTAAGAGCACTAATTTAAAAAGTATCTCTCCTGTGTCTTTGAAATGTTGATTAAAAAAAAAACATCCATAGGGATTGTTTGCATGTGCAAATCCACATATTGATTTCTTAACATTTTGAAGGGTTATTGAGAAAAAAAAACTAGTTTTCTGTCTTTTCACTTTAAATTAAGGTTCACAGTCTGAAATGACAGGTTGATTGTGAGATTTGCCTTGGATTTATTTTATCTTTTGGTTGGGCAGTCGTATTAAATATTTTATGGAAATGTTTCATATTATGCAGTTTAGTCTACAAGGAATGAGCCCTGTGGAGCTTTTCTATAGACCAGGTGCTGTCCATCCCTAGTCCTGGACATTTCTAATTCATCAGCTTTTGTTAGTCGCCATCAAATCACGGATTTCTAAAGATATGGAACAATTCCTTTGTGAGCAATTAAACAGGTGATTTGTTAAATTGTGTAATTTAGAGATATTTAAGAGTACTAAGTACTACAGTATATACCCCTCAATTACCAGAGCTCTCTTAATTGAACAGATTACTTATTTGATTCATAAATAGCTTGCAGGTGTTTGTAATCTTAGAACCAGGTGACCTAAAGTCTACCTGAATTGGGGTTCTCCAGGACCAGTGTTGGAGACACATGCTACAATATATATAATCCCTAATGACTCTGTTGGCAACAATTCCTCAGGATCCCAGCCATCCTAGCCACAAACTGTTTCTCCCCCAGCACTCTGGCAAGCAGTACCACACCATTAACATTTTGACCACTAGGCTTAAGAACAGCTTTTATAATATGACAGTGTGCATCTTTAATAGTTTACTGTTTTGTCTACTGTACTGTGCATGTCCTGAGACATAAGAGTTCCTGTTTACCTACAGTATGTTCCTACGATAAGAGTTCCTATGTACATGTACATATTGCAATTAATCCTCAAAGGACTCAAAGGAAGTAAAGGTTTATTCCATGCTGAAAAGAGAAGAAAAAAAACCAACGTTTTGGCTGTGGAGTCTTCTTCGGGTGTGTACGTCCTCTACTACTCTATTCTTATGCAAACTCTAAACAGAATTCCACCCAAAATCACAAAAGGATTTTTTACATAACTTATGTGAAAAAGGACTAGCCGGTTCTTGAGTTACATTTGAAATAAATAACTAAGGCTGTATTGTATAAGTAAAATGGAAAAAAATATGAAAGTTATAGTGAAAAGTGTATTATTTTAGAGATTTCTTCACAGACCTAATGGTTTTTCTGTTAACTGCTCTTGGTTTCCCGCAACCCTGAAATGGCTTAATATTCTTGTAGTTTCTTTTTTGTTTTCAAGACATTAGATTTACTTTTGCAAGGTCTAATCTTTTTGCAGTGAGAATGTCTTTAAATATTTGTATTTATTTAATTGAATTTGCTCTCATTTCAATTTTGCTCTCATTTTCACAATCATTTGCTTTTGCTGTTAGAAAACTTTCTAGATTTCATCTTGATATATTTCTTCTAACTTAAGAGGCAGGCCCAAAAAGTAAACTCAAAAGGTTGAAACAAAGGCTATACAGTACATTCACATTTCTTGTTTTCACAACTAATGTAAAATTGAGCATCTGTCACCACTTGTCCCAATACTTATGTCCACCTGAAATGGGGGGATTAAACACAACAACTAACATGGTGTTAACATAGCTAAACATAATACACCAAAACAAAAGCTAAAATGATATACTTCATAGTAACCTTTTGATCTGAAAGACAAATTTCAATAGTAAACAGCACAAATAACAAATTTCACTTCACTGTCCCAATACTTATTACCATTGCTTTATTATAGTTTTGGCAGATTAAAGAATTAGGTAGGCATAGACTTTTTATATAGGTAGCTGTGTCAGCATGCATAGGCTGCAAAGGAACAAGTTAAGGTTTATTCCATGCTGAATAAACCTTTCTTTTTTATTATTTTCAGCATAGAATAAGTCCTGTTCCTTCAAATATTTTTTTGGCTAAATTATTTCACCAAATGGGCTAGATAGGCCAAATGGTTGCCTTTTGTGTGTTCTTATTTTTGTACTTGTTAATGCAGGAAAATGGTTCCCATATCTTAAATTATCCTGTTAGATTTACAAAGAAAAAAAGGCTTCTGACCTTGATCTGTGCCTGTCTCTTTGCCTCTGCTTCTGTAGAAAAGGTGTGTTGTATCTCAGCTGGTAGAGAGAGATCATCTCTGAAACACAGGAAACCCATTGTTGAATGACATGGCTAAACAGCTGCTAACTGCTACAGTCATAGCCACAATGGCTGGATATAAAGAAGGCACATTGCAGAATTCTGAGCATTTTGATAAAGAAAGAATAATCTTGGATCCTGGGTTTTATTCCAGCAGAGGGCAGCTTCTGTGTGGAGACAGAATATTGTCTGTGCACGTTGTTGTAAGGGTGCTCAGGTGCCCACACTCTGCCCAAGACATGCTGTCCAGGTATACTGGCTTCTCTAAATTGCTCCCCCCAATATGCAAGCATAAGTAATATTTTGCTCTTGGATGGACAGGCGACCAAGATGTCATTTCTTTAGCCATTACTGCCTTTTCCTCAGCCATGCCAGTTAATTCAAAAGTATTAAGTACAGTATCCCTTGTATTCACTGGCTCATTTTTGACGTTTTAGAATTTGACTGAGCTTTAATCATTGCACAAAATACACATTTAGCATGTAGTTAATTGCTTTTACAGTACATCACTTACATTTCAATTCTCTCCACTTTGATTCCCCACTGGCAAGTGACAGCATCCAGTGCCACCTATAGAAAATATAAAACTCAGCTTCAGGAGGATTTACTGTAAACAGCCTGGATTTTATACATCACAGCAGCCAAGAGCAAATATTGCAACCACAACCACTTTGTTCTCCTACCTTGATTTCCTGGGCGATGCTCCTTCTGTGTATTAGAATGTGTGTGAGGCTATGGTGGGCTAGAATGTCTTTGACTGTGGTTTGGACAAGGACCTGAACCATATTGGAGATTCCAGTCACTACAGTGAAGCAGAGAGAGACATTCTCCACACGGTAATAGCATACTGCACTTAACTCCATCGTCACCATGTCTTTGGTCAAAATCTGTGAATAAAACATTGGACAGAACTCTAACACCATGCAGTTGGTTTGCCGGTAATGTTGAACAATACATATAAAAGTAAATATGCATGACCCTACAGTGCTGTAAAAATAATTACCTAGAGATAATACAGTTAATATTGTGAGCTTTATGGTAACAACTAATTCATATCCATCATGTAATTAAATAAAAAACTTAAATTTATTTAATTAAACTTAATTATATTTAATTAATTGAACTTAAATTAAACATAAAATACATTTTATAGTTATGTGGAATAACATACTTTTGGCACATTGAATTAAGTAGTTCTGTTTGAGATTAAAAATGGGCAGATACAAGGTAAATTAAATTCAGTAAATGTTATGTTATGTTATAAGTAAAAGCAATGTTATGTTATGTTATGTTTTGTTTTGAGAGAGAGAGACCGTAATTGTATAATGTAATGTAGGGAAGCATGAAATGTGCAGTAGATAAAACAAGTAATATGCTGAAGCACTAAGAAGGCAAACAGGATGCCTGGGTACACAGCAAAGGACAGAATACCAGACAAGACACATCATGATTAAGATGTATGGTGCCCTACTCAGCCTATTTGGAATTCTGCCTCCATCTGTGAGTTCAACATAAAGAGGAATCTTTACAGACAATCCACAGTAGAGCAACCAGATGTATTTCAAGGCTCAAAGGTATCAGGACATATAAAAAAAACTGAAATGAATATCTTCGGCTTTACATGATAAAAGGAGATATTTATTTTTCAATTTAAATGGATGAATTAATGCTGCCATGCTATTCCTAGATATTGTAACATTAAAAGTCAAGGCATTAACAGCATTTTCTTCACTTTTAGTAGAACCCTACAGTACATCTCCATATTCTCCCCTGTATGCAGTCGCAGGGTTTGTAGCTACATATGAAGTAATTGTTGAGTTGAATTGGGTGGATATCACAAAATATAACTGGGCACAGTAGTGCCAAACTTCATTTTGCAGGTTAATATTTCTAGCTTCCTTTTAAAAATCATCTTGTTACTGAAACCTGGCAGACAACGAGCACAAGACCTACTATATGCCGGTCTAGCACAGGACACACACAGATGGACTCACACATACTGTATACTGTAAGCGGTGCATTTCAGAGAAATGGATCAAACTAGACAGCAGTACTTAGTGACAGCCCTTGTGGCTATGGGGAGAATATTCAAACTTCACACAGAAGCTCAGCATCAAACCCAGCATTAAAGAGCTGTGAAACAGCAACAAGAACCATCATGTAATTTTCTACTTTGATGTTCTCATCATTTATGAATATTCCTTACGCTCTATTCCCTGCGATGGGCTGGCAGCCCAGCCAGGGAGTACCCTGCCTTGCACCCCTTGCTTGCCAGGATGGGCTCCAGCTCCCCCACAACACTGAACTGGATGAAGCTAGAAAGTTAGAAGCTAGGAAGTTTGAAAATGCATGCATGAATGTTAGTCTTCACATTTACCAAAAGTAAGAAATAATTTCTTAAACAGTGCAGGAAATGTAATTACCTTATGAGATGGTATCACCAACATGTTGATTCGAATATCAACCTTCTGATAAACATCCAAGAATGGGAGATAGAAGAAGAGACCTGATTCCAAAACGGTGAGACAAGGGTATAGATATAAAAGCAAGGGAACTTTTCACCACAGGTCTCTACAGAATACATTTACATGTGGATCTGGCTTTTAATAATTCATTACTGTGAATCTCTTGAGATGTTTGTTCAGTATAAATAAATTTAATATAGTTAAATAATTTACAGTTACCATGTGTTTCAGTTCATACAATTCACGTATGCAATTCAAGAAAGTTGAATCTCTCCAGCACTTTTATTTGTCTCAAGTTGTGAAGAATATGTATTACGTAAATCGCAGAAACTGAATGATGAAATTATAAATTCACTATATTTGTCATTCACTATCTTTTCAAGGCCGTGCACACAGGATATCAAACAAATTGTTTTGTTCTCAATATTAAAAGAGAAATATGCAAAAGACAAAAAAAAATAATTTAAGTGTTTAAGATCGCAAAAGAACCAGAACTTCAGATTTGTTATGAAGTTTACCTGGTCCCCTGGCCTTCCCTGGCATCAGGTGGCCTAACCTGAATACCACAGCTCGCTCATGTTCCTTCACGATCTGTACAATCAGCAGAGCACAAAATTATTTCAAACAACATGCCGCATCTTCTGCTCAGAAATGCATTTAACACCAGGATTGGTCAGTATGAGGCTGTAGTTAAAGTTATAGTTGCAGTTTATACTGGCTTTCAACATGAAAGCCTAGAAGGAGTGCATTCTGCGTTCAAAAGTAGATTCTCACCTTTACACAGAACCACACAGAGAATGGAAAGAACAGGATGATCACAATTAAGGCCACTCCAGTTAGAATCCACTCACAGATACCAAGGGTCTTGCTTTTGAGAGCTGTGGGATGAGTCAAAGTGGATAAACAGTAAACAGTGGAAGCTGTAAACAAACCAAAGGTCTATAATGAGCAAGCTTTAATGAGCAGCAAGCATGTCCTCTCAGGTGATGAAAAGTGGGGCAGTTCTAGCAAAGTACCACTACATTATCAAGAGGAATAAGATATTTCTAATTTGGTGTTTTCCACTTGTTTTCTGATTTCCTGTAGAACATTGTAGATTGTTTTCTGGAGGCACTGATATCCAACTCAGCTCTTCTCATTATTCCCTGGAGTATCTGAGTGTTCTGACTGCAGGGCAAACCCACCCTCATGATTTGATTATTATTTTTATTTCATATTAAGAATTAATAATATTGTTTTCTAATATTATTTTAGGTCATCATGGCACTGTACAGTTATAGTAGGTCTATATGTATGGCAAAAAGAGCAAAAGTAATAACTGAATCTAAGTTGATAATTTAATTAAAGTTTAATAAATTCACATTGCTCAATAAGCTCACCTTCCTCCTGAACCTCACTCTCCAGAAGTCCCACTAAATCCTCAGGAATCTCTTCCTGTTCAATGTGTGCCACGCTGTCCACGTTCACCACTGTGGAGACTGCTTTATTGTTTTCCACCTCTGGGGCGCCCCTCAGCACCTTTGGCTCAGAGCTCTTCTGGGTCCCACTCTCCAGGGGGCCTTTTCTGCTAGCCCTCTGCCGGCTTTCCCTGGACTGGGAGGTAGAAGGAGAATCCTTTCCTCTTCTTCCGGAACGGGAAACACTTCTTGACCTCCTCTCCATCTTGCTGTGAGGCTTACGAGCCAAGAGCATATGGAGAACCATTGGAAATGAGCAGGGGGCTAGGACTATTTGTATCTCAGGGGTGGGGTTTCCAAACTCCTCTGGGTGCAATCATAGAAAAAGGAGGTGGGTCATTGCCTTATGTTTTTATTTGTGTACTACAGGAAGGCTGAACAAATAAACATGTTTTTGGAGTTTCATAAAAGTTAAGAATGAACATCCCATATTCTTAAAACATATCCAGCTAGTAGAGCCCTTTACAAATACATTCTTACCTGGGTTGGACTTTGCTTTTATGAGCTCCACTGCACTATCATGCTGCTGATCAACATTTTAAATACTGTGTTATTTTTACACTGGTTTTTGTGACATAGACCTCTTTTTGCAAAAAATCTTCATTGTTTCACCTTTTCTGGCTGGATACTGTATCTGCATAAAAACTGCTTATGCAAAAAAACTGAAACACAATATGTTGGAACTGTATTTTGTCTTCTTATAAACTCCAGTAGCATTATCAAGTTTGAATCAAATAGAACAGGTCTATATTAGTTTATAAACAGAACAGAAACTTAAGAAGCATGTTGCTGTGAAGTAATCTTGCCTAAAGCTGAATACCAAGTATTGTACCTCTCCAAAACTACTTTTTACTTAAATGAACCTAGAATAGGCGGTATTTTTTAATAAGGAGGATTTCAGCAACACCCAATTGACTTTTACTAAAGAAAATATCTATTATATTTTACTTTGATTTAGGAAAGTTAGGGCGTATCCGTGAGGAATGTGCAGAGTCAAGATCTTTCTCCGTGGAAAATGCCTATGTCAGGACACTTTGTTTTCCTAGAGTTAGCTGGTACTCAATAGCATCATCCCTTTGCAAATTTTTAATTAAACCTGCAGCTGAACTTTGAACTCTTCCTGCCTCCAGAAGAAAACAAATGAAAGCACTCAAATCACTAAGTAGTTTTTCTCATTTATTTCTTAAGAGAAAATTGTCATTAATATGACCTTTTTAAATTTAATGTGTTTAGAAAAGGGTACTTGTAAAGTCTTGTTTTCATCTAACTCTTAATCAGCAAGAGTTATGGAGATTGTAACTGTAGTATTTTCATTTTTGCTTGTCATTGTCTGCTCATGTTACTTAATACACCCGTGAACAGCCACACTAATTTCAGACACCATTCTAGCTGGAATAAATTCTATGCACTGAGTTTTCAAGATCATCTTTCAAACATGAGCTACAGTAACCAAGCAGGTAAAACAGTTAGAATCACTGTTTCCAGACTGGGGAATTTTTCTCAAGAGTCAGAGGGAAATTAAAGTCATAAGGCCATCTGGGAAAACTAATGAAGTAAACATTTGGGGGAAGAATCTCTGCAAATACTCTCTCACCCTGTTAGACTTCCCTCTGATGCAACTGATTTCTTCTGATCTCAGTTTGATACACCTACTCTCAACCTTGGTCTAGAACTTGGGGGTATTTTTAAAGCCACTTAATGGAAGAATCTGCCAGTTTAACCAACTCAACTGCTTACATGCAGGACTAAACATTTTATCTTTATTAAATGTAGTTATGCAATTACTGGTTACCTCCATCTCTCAAACTATATTTATATATCACTGTTATCATGTAAAGACTAGATTTCTGGTTAATTAACTTAAGACACAGGGTGTGTCTGTTTCTTTAGACTGCTGATTGAGCTCTCAGAATAAGTAACTATAATGCATGCTGTGCCTTCAAATAGTGCAAGTTGCAAATTTACAGATTTTATGCACAATAAAAAATCTATATATATATAATTGTTATTTATTCTGTTTACCTTATAAATTATGATAAGATAGGATTGTTGATTGAATATACTGTGCCTATAGAAAGTTTGCACACTCTTTCAAAAGTAACACATTTTGTTGTCTATGAATTGGAAATATAAACACATTAAATCAGAATTTATTTTACCTTTTTTACATATTATAACACACAACCTCTAAGGGAACATCAAATGCATATATTATGAAAAGTAATTACTGTACAAATGAAAACCTAGAAAAATGAGTTGGATAAGTGTATAAACCCCTGGGTTAATACTTGGTGGAACCTGCCTCAGCCGTTTCCTCAGTCTCAGTCCTGTTTGTCCTCATCAGCGCTTTCATTATTTAATAAACTCTCTCCGCCTGCTCCATATCTCTGGCTCATTTACTTCTAATTTTCACAGAGCCCATTTAACACTTTCTCGGGCCTGGTGTCACATCAAGACTTAATGTGTTATCACCCTCCCATACAACCTAGAGATATGGAGAACTTGGGATATTGTGTGACATACACATTGACAATTGTGGACATACTTGTAAAGGACTGCTAGTCCTTTGAAAGTTGCCATTGGATTCTTGGTGGCCTCTGATCAGTTTCCTCCTTGTTTGGTCATCAATTTTGGAGGAACAACTTGGTCTAGGCAATGTTATTGAGGTAGCCATATGCCTTCCACTTCTTAATGATGGTCTTGACTGTGTTCCAAGGGATATTTAAGGCTTTTGAAAAGTTCTTATACATATATATCTCCTGCTCTGAGTCCTCACACAGCTTTATTTCAGCGGTCAGAGGCTCAGAGGTCTTTTGATAGCTCCTTGTTGCCCACAATTTACTCTTTACTTTAAGATACACTACCCAGCAGAGAAGACATGCAGGAAAAGTTAATTTTATGCTGTAATAATCGGAATCGCTACAGTTGAGGTGGTGGCTAATTAGCTTTTTTTGTGATTTGGAAGGCAATTGGTTACACCAGAGCTAATTTACAATTGCTATTACTAAGGTATGCATGTATGTAAAGCTATCCAACCCATTTTTCTAGCTTTTCATTTGTAAATACTTCTCAGAAAATTTGAGTATTTGTTTTTCATTAGAAGCTTTTGTGTTGTAAGGAAATCTTGGTTTTGTTAACCCTGCATTTCTTGGCACTGGTTCATTTCTTCTCTGTGGTGACTATACCATGAATATACAGAAGAGAAGCGTTTACTGTGCTTTTCACAAAGGCTCTGCCCTCATTGCATCCCTACACACATCATACGGAGTTGTGGACTAAAAGTGTCATAAAAGAGCAAGAACTTACAATAAAAGAGCCTCCAGAACTTTAAAAAAGTTTTTTGCTTTTCTCTTATTTGGTCTGAGTACCAGTCCAGTAAGACATATCACTGTGTCATATCCAATCCTCCACAACCTTGCTATGGACTGCGATGAACTACCTGTTCCATCTCAAAAACATTTAGATGTTTCAAAGCTGGTAAAAAGGAAAGAGAAAAGATTATTTTCTGAAGAACAGTCATAAGTAATAACTTCTGAAAAGACCCCAATAATTGTTTTCATAAATGTACTGTTACATTTAACTACATGAAATAACAACACATTTTACAAACCCCTACTCTTTAATATTGCTGCTACCCACCTACTGGTGTGAGACATACAGTAAAAGATTATTTAGAAGATAAATCACCGAAAACACAAATTACTTCAACAATTTTTGATAAGGGCTGTGAGAACATATTGTAGCACCCACACGGGGTGCGTTAGCCATGAACAATGCAAGGCAGGCTGAAAACAGCGACTAAGGGGGTGGGACCTGGGTTACCAGACTGTATATAATGGGATGGGGGCTGTGAGACACCCTCTTCCCTTTCGTGTCTGTTTATAGTGTACAGTAGGTGTTGTGCTGTATTCCCTGTGTCCCTGTGTGTGTAACCCTCTTCAGAGGCATTAATAAACATGCTGCCAACCTACGTCAGAGCTGTATTCCTGCTTTATTCTGTACCGAAACCCCCTGGTTGTTACATTGGTGTCAGTAGTGGGGTTGAACGGAGCGGCGTCGTGAGAGGCAGTGACATTTCTATTGGGGGCTGTGCCACCGGGACGTGGAGCAGCACTGCCAGATGTGCGCAATGTGCGTGGCGCAGAAGGGTCCCAATGAGCGTTCCCATGCCCCTCTCCAGCAACATCAGGTGGGGGCTCCTATGGATCGGGTAGGGTTGGACATTTTGGGCCCATTCCCGCGTACTGAGGCCGGGAACCTCTACATCCTGGTGCCCGTGGACTACTTCACCAAGTGCCCTGAGGCCTATGCCCTGCCGGACCAAAGTGCCTCCATGGTGGTTGATGCCCTGCTGGAGGCGAGATTTTGGAGGTGGTGGGCCAGTTGTGAAAGCAGGGGATTGTGGTGGTCCTGCATCGAGACTGCCTGGCACCCTATCGGGAAGGGAAGGCCCCGGAGGAGCGGCCGGGCCCGAGTCGGTGGGTCACCAACTATCACCACGTTGCAGCGGGCGGTCACGCAGGGTTCCCCGGCAGCTGGTAGAGCATGAATACAGCCTGTTCAGCATCAGCTGGACGCCGGACACCTCAGGTGGTGGCAGTGTAGCACCGTCGCTTGGTAACGAGGAGGAGGCGCAACTCTCAGAGCAGGCTGAGAGTTGTAGCCGGGGGAATGTCTGTGTATCCACAGAGTGACCACTAGGTCACCCTGTAAATGTAAATAGTCCTAATTGTATATGTGTACAGCAGTTAAGTGTTACCCTCTGTTATTGTCCCTTGATATGTAACCACCCTGAACCTGCATACTTGTCCCGTTTACTGCCCTAGTGTCTGTGTGAACCTTTGGACATTTGTCTTTAGCTGGCTGATGGAAGTTGTAATAACAGGTGCTTATGTGCCAAACAAGAGTGTTGTCTTGGTTTTTCTTGCGTGAACTGTAAATGCCACATTGATGTCAGGAGCGAAACAGAATGGTGCAGCACCATGAAAAACTCGGCGTGCCATGAGAGGCCCCAGCAGCAGAAGCGCAGCCTGTCTTGCACGTGCAGCCTGGAGGGACAATTTGGGCTGGCGGGACATTAGACTCTTCAGGCCGGGGCAATTAACCATGTGCACACAAGTCGGGCTGGGAACAGCGCCACAGGGGGCGGGACCTGGGTTACCAGACTGTATATAGGTGCTGTGAGATGCCCTCTTTCCTTTCGTGTCTGTGTATTGTAACGAATACGCCCCTGCGCAAAACAGGGAACTTGTCCGCCCACGCTGAGGAAGATCTTTAGCTCAGCCAGCAAGACCCCTGTTGAGCGACGCCAGAGACTCGGGTTCGCGCTCATGCGGTGAGGGCACAAAACTGAAAACCCGAATCCGTTACTGTATAGTTCAGGTGTATTTCCTGTGTCCCTGTTTGTGTAACCTTCTTCCGCAGCGTTAATAAATGTGCTTTTGCCAACCCACGTCAGAGCTGTATGCCTCCGTACTTCATTCTGTACCGAAATCCCACGGTTGTTACAATATTTTGAGAACCAAAGGGGTGCCGGCTATATAGGCAGTAAAGGTAAAGAACTTCTGGTCAATAGCAAGACCTGTACTTACTCCTTGACATTATCCTGTAGAGCTGATGGCGGCAGCTGCTGCGTTGGGTTCATTTACATTGAGAACATTTTAGTACGGAGCTGGGAACTAATTGCGGTAACCAATTTCGGTGCAAACTGTATTAACGTAGCGTATTATTTTTTCACGGAGCTGCGTACTAGACACGAAGTCATTCACAATTAGGCTGTTTTCATTTCTTTATATTTGACACACTATGACTAAAAACTCAATAAAAAGTTGTCGATGCATTTATTTTTGGGCGTTGTAATTACTCGTCAAATAAAACATCGTGCAAACAGACCTTTCACTTAAGCTGATTGAGTTTCATAGAGATGGGTATTCTTGGAAAAGTAAAAAAAGCTCGTTTATGTGGTTAGTTTTAGGAATGGCGTTGGCAGTAAATAAACAAGATGAACGTTAACATCTTCAGTATATTAACTTCATTTAGTTAATATACTGTACACAATCGCAAAGTCTGAGAAGTACGAACAACATACAGACCACCAGGGGACAGAATCCACACGAGCAGTAGCTGGAGGGAAATCGAAGACGCGAATGCTTGTTGCATGTGCTCGAAACTGAATTAGCTAATGTAAGTAATTTCGGGAATTATATATACAGTGTTACATTTCGATTTACTATATCTGATTATTACAAGACTATTTAAGTCGATTACTGAGGATATTTGCGTTAGCAAGCCAGTTGGAAAGCGAGTAGATGAATGCCGAAATTATAGGTCTGTTTTTTTTTCTCATTTCCGCAAAGATTTGACTTTAACGTTCTGTGGTCGATGAGAAAAGTCGCTTCTGTTTTTTTTGTTGTTGAATTAAGTCACAACCACAAAAGTACATGTCTTATATTTTTAGCAAAGAATGCGTTCAGGGGTATTTGAATTCACCATGTGCTTCTAAATTGCAGCTGTTGCTAAATTATTTTAGCCTTGAAGCCGTAACAACATTTTTCGAAACAAAACAAAAAGATTTTTTTAGTTCAAGGTATACGCTAAAACATTTATAAAGCACTCCAGATAAAACAAATTAAAATATTTTAATAAGAAATGCGTTTGTAATGGCGCATTTCTTAATCTGGTTCTAAGCTTTGGGAACATCACTTGCTCGAGGTTCATCGACTTTCGATAGAGGAGACTAACGAGTTCTTAATGGACTCCAAATTCTACTGTACCTTGCATTTTTTAAATGAAACGTTTTTGAATAGCAGCACGTGATGCACATTGGTTCTTTCAGATAGTATGTTTTTCCCCTCAACTACATGCCTGATCCAAACTATTGCTATAGGAAAACATAGGACAAAGGCGCGTTGCATACATTTCAGAATAGGGGTGCTCATACAGCTTTGCACGGTTTTGAAAAGGGGTTTTCTTAAGTTTACCATTCCATAATTTACTGCAGGGGGTTTTCATTCTGGGTCCTACAGTAGATAGCCAGAGGGTCATATAGTTGTCATTCCACACAGTTCTTTAATTCTAAATTGAAATAATTATTGACTTAATTATAATAGTCACAGGAAACGTTCTTATATACTGACCGAAGACTCTGAATTTTCCAATATAAGGACAGTGGTAATGTCAGCTAAAACATAAACAAGTAGAACTACTGTCACAAATACCAGGACCTTGTATTGCTGTACTAAGCAAATAGCAAGAACATAGTTCATTTTTAAGCTTTAGTTCTTGTGTTACAGAATTAAGAGCAAATCCATAAAGTGTGGTTGCTACCACACAACTTGTCCTCCTTTTGTAAAGGCTAGAAATTAGTAATACATGATGGTTCCTTGTGTCTGGGTTAGTATTACCCTGATAACATGCGTTCTTTTTGCATGTGTCTGTTGCTTGTGTGGTTGATGCTGCAGTTGTTTACATTTCAGGTCAATGAGTAAAGAGCAGCTGCTGGATACCTTAAAGAAGGATGTGCGCTCCCTGTTAATCTCAGCGAAGGCGGGTCTGGCACCTGAGCATCTTAAGCGGGACTATACCGCCATGCTGGGCCACCCTCTGCCCCTGCAGAGGCTCGGCTTCTGCAGTGTCCTGGACATGGCAGTACACATGCCTGATGTTGTCTGCCTGGAATCCACCAAGGATGGTAGCACTATGCTGAAGGGTGAGATGCTAGAAAATGTTAAACAAATCAGAAATTAGAGGAGGCGATGCAGGCCATCCAGTTGTTTAACAGTAGCTAATTGATTCAAGGATGTCATCCAGCTGTATCTTGAAAGAAAGTAGTGTACAGGATCCAGCAATATGGCTGGGAAGCTTGTCGGAGTATGCAACACATTTTTGAAGCCTTGGAATTGAACCAGGGGCCTTCAGATCTTCATTCTAAAGGCAGGACTGTTGCAGTCAGTACAATAATATAGTTTAGAAGAAACTGATCACTGATCCTTACAATCAAATAAAACTGACAGTAGATCCATCTGTCCATCTATTAATAAACTGTTTATCAATTGCAGGAACTGACTGTGGAAATAAAGTTTAGTGTCCATTCCAGTTGTTCTGCCCAGCCATCATCCAGTCATTAGACTTTAAATCTATGTTGCTACATCAAGTGTTCTAATTGTCTAGTCACAATCTGAAGGTCCAGTGCTACCTTATGAAATATACACCACAACATGTTTTCAAATAGCTTTTGTTTGACTGCTCTGTTTTCGGCAGTAACATTTTCATTTGTGATGTAAACCAACATAAAAAGTGTGATAGATTTGTAAAAAGATCTGGTACTTGTTGGTTAAAGAAAGATCTGCCTGTAGTTTTCACACTAGGAAGGAAAGTAACACATTGGTTACATTCTATAAGAACAGGTGAAAACTTCAATTTTCCACAATTACAATGATGATAAGCATTGTTTTTATCATTAGCATATTTTGCAGAAATAGGGATGACCGTACCATGATCTAATTATATGTGTTATATGTTCTTGTGTTATGTCCTATTGCAGCTATTGGGGTTGACAGCACCAAGGGTATTGAGGAACTAGTTGCAAAGCAGAGGGATTCTAAACCCAAGGCATTCAAGAAAAAAGCCCATTGTGTAGGTTCACAAGCTCCTGTCCTCCTGCATCGGAGGGGAAACCCCCCTCCTTCCCTCCCTGCCTCCCTGCGTGTAGAATTGAGGCAGCTCCTGGTGCATGGCCCCCTCCGGCTTTCAGAGCTGGAGCTGCAGTTCGCCACAAGGTTCAGCCGCCCACTTCAGATCAGCCGCTACGGCTTCCGCTCCATTTCAGAGGTTCTGAGAGCAGCAGAGGACATGATAGAGGTGAAGCAGAGCAGGACTGGATCTGTGTTGAGTCTGAAGAGAAGTAAGATGGCAGCCCGAGTACAGCCTCTGCATGACCCAGGTTTGCGGACACATTGGCTTGTTCACCTTCATAGGGAGGCATTTGCTCAGAGAATGGCCCTGTGCAGGGCTTGCCACACCATATTTATTGGTGGCTTTTAAGTGTACCCTTTTCTCTTGAAGAAAATGTCGCATGAAGATATTGAAGTGGGCTTGTTCTTTACATCATATTAGGTACCCTTAATGTTACTTTATATTATAGCTGCACTTAGGGATGAGTGAATTAACTTTTTTTGTCTGCTTAAAAACACTAGGGAACCTTAAACTATATGAAGTCCTCAGTAAATATTTAATAAATTATGGGGAAATTCTTCATTACACTGTTTGTAATGGGAGGACTTCCACAAGCAGAAAATGTCAACACTTATAAAAAATTACCAAATAAAGGAACATCTCAATAAGAACTTAGGTAATGTCATCAAATATAACTTATTTAGCCAGTTTCTTGGTAGTTGTACAAGGCACGATAAAATAATTTTTCAGAGGCAAACTAAGGTTGTAGGTGTGGGAGTCCCCAGAACAAGGATCCCCAATGCTTGTCTGGATTATCCCTTTCTTTGTGGACTTTTTTACATAATATTTGTGAAATTTTGAATGTCTATTAAAAAAAACATGCATATCGTGCTTATCTGTCAAATGCCCTGATTAGTGTTTGTATTTCCTGAGCTGTTATTTACTGTGATCAGTAGAAGAAATGGGACAGATGTTAATGACATTATCCCAATGATCGGAATAAATTAGCATCTTCTTTAAACAATCATATATCTGGCTAGTGGTTTACATAACAGTGGATGAATGAGCAACAACAATAATTTGTGACACTGTTGAGAAGTAACACACATACAAATTACACAAGGTTCCAGATACAGTCCTGTTGTACTGTTATTCACAAGGATGTGAAGGTTAAATATTTCTTTGGTTAGCTCCAGCATTGGACATTTATCTGCTAACTTTATACTTTGTGATGGAATGACTAATTGTAAAAACAATAGCAGTTTCCTCTTGTTTAACCTTCTTGAATGAGATCAGCCTCACTAGTGAAAAGTGTTCTTGCAGACCTCCAGAGATTTTTAGGATTTTCTTGGTCTTTCATCTTTTGTTTTGAAAACGTTATTCCTAATGTTGTTAGAACTTTTCACATCTAGCACTCATGTTGCAAAGAGTGGGTCAAATAGTATGTAAATACACAGACTTAAGTCAAATTTTACATTCTTAAATAAAACAATATTATTTTTATTTGCATAAATACATGTTTACCTAGCAGGACTCTTTGCTAACTTTGGAGGAACAGGTAACACGCCGAAAAGAAACACAACATTTCGGCTATGTAGCCTTCTTCAGTTGAGAAAGATGGGGTAGACGGCAAAGATTAAATAGCACAGGAGAACAAAAGCTGGAAAAGTGGAGGAGGAGGGAGAGGGGAGAGGCAGAGAAGCCACTCAAGAAGTGCAAAGTGGAGAGGGGCGGAGAAAGGTGTGAAGTCAAAACCTGCTTGAGAATAGAGGAGATTACACAAAAATAAGTCACAGAAAATAACCTGGGTGTGGTATCCTCTGTTTATGAAAAAATAATGCATTTTGAGTGCTTGGTTCTGGAAATCCATGTCGTCACTGCAGAGACAACGTAGCCTGAGTAACTGTGAAAAAGGGAGACAGTTTTGGTGTGAGTGGGGTGAAAAGAGCTGTCTGTACAGGAGATAGCTGTGTGACTCTGTGGGTTTGTAATGGACCGAAGTAGAGAGTTGTAGAAGGTTAATAGATGATAGATCTTTGCTAACTTTGCTTTTTCAGATGCAGACAGATTAAGTGGCAAAACCGTTGAGTTTTTGTGTGCAATATTTCCATCCAATTTCTTTTTACACTACACTGTAGTTTCAAAGCTATATATGGGGTGCAGTTTTTAGTATTGAGAAACAGTTTTCTACCCCCTGTAAAATAAGACCTAATATTTGCACCAACGTATTTTGGAAACTGTGTGTTGACTTCGCTTTAGACCTGTTAGTGTGAAGCTACTCAGATCTCATATTTACCAGGAATTCATGTGCTGGTGTGTAAACATCAATTTATGGTAGCAATTAGAGAGTTTTCCCCTGCTTTGAACTGGACAGCAAATCAGAATCAGAATCGTCTTTATTTGCCAAGTACATTTTGTGTACAAGAAATTTACTCTGGTGTACTTGGTGCTGTAAAAACATTGTGCATCTACCATACAAAACAAGACAAACAGACATCATTAAGACAGTACATATATACAGTAACTAAAAAATCTGGTTAAGCAAAAAGACAGCCCTACGGAATAAGCTATTCAAATACTTTGTGGTTCTGGCTTATATGGATTGGTAGTGCCTTCCTGAGGGAAGTTTATGAAACAGGTGGTAACCTGGGTTGGAGGGTCATCACCAATCTTTCTTGGCCACTTCTTTGCTTTGGAAGTGTATGAATCAACAATGGAGGGTAAATGATAGCCAATGACTGCCAGTGAAGCAGAGAACAACAGATTGCAGCTTGCCTTTGGAGTGGGCTGACACATTGCCAAACCAGTTATAGAGGCAGTCCGAATGGTCTTAATAATAGTTTTGTAAAACTGTATTAGGTGGTTAACACACCCAAGTTTTTCAGTGGGCACCAAAAGCACATTCTTCAATGTGTTTTCTTTGTGATACATGTGATTATTCATGTCCAAAATGTTACAATAACATAAAATCTTGACATCAGCCATTGACATAAGCCATTGTCATGATGTCACAGCTTACTGTCTAAAGATTGAGTATCTGTGTGTCATCACTACTTTCTGACCTGTTAAAGAACTCAATTATATGATCTGGAAAATGTGTTGTCAACTATAAAGTTATTTTTGTGGCATAGGAGTTGTGGGCTGTCTAGAAAACCCCCTGGTGTGTTTATTCCATTTTAGAGGTCATGCTCATAAGAGATTTGGGTGGTCTATCTGATGCAATACTTTTTTCTTGGTGCTTGTAAGGCACTGTTTCTTGCTGTGTTTGTGTTGTAGTCACAGTAAAGAACAGTACTGGTGAAGACACAGCTTCCAGGAGAACAGCAAAGGAGGAGAAGGGACTAAGTGCCTCTCAGTTACAAAGTACACCATCTATGCAACAGTCACCAGCAATCTCCCAAGATGAAAAAGAATTTGAAAGACATATATTAAAGGTGAGACATGCTCAATTCTCTTTCCTACTTTGACCACGGACATACAGTATAATAGTGTTCTTCCAAACCAGTCCCCAAGGTTCAGAAGGTCTTCTGACATTCATTTGTACCTGAGTTTGTAATAATTATTCACTTAATTGAGCCAGACCTTCACCGGGGTCTAGATCAGGTAGTGACATATGTATAAACTGGCAGATTATTTGTTGTTGTTTTTTTAATCCAGCTGGAAGAAAATCTGAAAAACACACTCCTAGACTGTGTGCAGGCAGGGACCATTAACCCTCAACTGAAGGAAAAGCTTAGGCAGGTGAGAACCAACTCTGGGGCCTCATGTCATTGCTCAACTTAACAAAGCTCTTTGTGGTGCTTTCATCACTGCCTTTGAGGCTACAATAACATAAGAAAGGTTTTGAAGAAGACGCCAACAAATTTCATATTGAACCAGAGGAAAATCTTCAGCTGTTTTTTGAAAGAAGCCTGGTTTTTTGCTTCAACAACATGGCAAGGTAAGATCCATCCTCCCATAATCCTTTGTGTAAAGAAGTGCCTCCTGCTCTCAGACGTAATTAAACTTAAGTTTCCACTTGTTCCCTCTGATGTTTCACTGTTCATTTTGAATAAATCAGATGGATTGACTTTGGAATACTTGGATCAGGTTCCTGATATAACTGATATGCATAGGACATTTTCTTTAGCCTGGGAATGTGTCTTATTGATTTTTTTCTGGATTGTTTCCAGAGCGGCAACATCCTTTTTGCAACACAGTGGCCAAAATAGTACACAGTATTCTAAATGAGATTTTACGAGTCAGTTGTACAGTTTTAACATAACATCCTATTATTTAAATAATTAGCTTTTAACTTTATATTCTAATATTTTGCCCTATGGTCTGCAATTTAATTAATCTTTTGTAATTTAATCATTTATGAGAAACATTATCCAAAAAAGTGTGTTTTTCCACCCAGTTTTGAAGAGCTAGTGAGGCAAACTTGATAACCACTTTACTGTAGAGGCCATATATAGATAGTTTGTATCAGATCCCACTGTTGCGGTCTCTTTATTTCCAAACTAAAGAGACTTTCTGATTATGTCTCTTTACTTCAACACCCTTGTAGCAAATATTGGTGATGTCTTCATCAGGTCCTGCATCACCCTTGCCAGGCTTCTAGATATCTGCCTTGAACTTGAACTTGAACTTTATTGCCATATGTAACCGGTACTGGTACAATGGAATTCTTACTTACAGAAAGTCTCTCGATTGTAAAACAAGTGTAAAAAAACAAAACAAAGTGCAAACAGTGCATCAAGACAATGTACAAACAAACAATAGACAATGTGCAAGTAAACATGCAGGCAGTTTGAATGTAAAGTGTATTCCTTTGTGTATTCCATGTCT